GCGAAAACTAAGTTTTGAAGCAACGAACAAAACCAATTTAATCGGTAGTAAAGCTAATATGAATAATACGCGGATCGTCAACACTGGACAAACTCCTAGTGATATTTAAGTAAAAACTCTATCATACGGCTTACGTTTGAACGTCGCTTAAAGCTTTCTTCGGTAATGAGCGGGCAGTGGAAAGCCAAGTGACACGACGCTTGCTACAAGCTCTAAAGGCAAAACACAACCATAACCGGTGATTTAAAGTTCGCGAACGATCGCTCTTGTAAAGCTTAAAGCCGCTTAACCAAAGGGTGAAGATATTTAATGCTTCTCAAGTTAATGGTGTACTGTAGTTGAAATACATTATTGCAGGCGTTGAAGCTTTATTAGGGCAGCGTAATTGCTGAAATGAGCAGCTCGCTAAAGCCAACAGAGTTTTAGAAAGTAAACTTTTGCAATTTTAATGGTACAGGAGCTCTACACTTCTTGCCTTGTCTTACTGTAGAGTTCATTGAGTGAGCAGTAGGTACAATGGTTATACCATTTCTGTGAATTCTTTCCTTCATAGTGCGTTTATTGCTGTATTTGTTCCATGGCTAATTGGAACTAGTTTTAAATGACGAATACAACCTCCCAAAAGCCCGTTAATTCTGTCTCTAAAACGTGGCTACGCGGACTTAATAAACGCTATAGGTTCTTACTGTAGGCAAAGCAAAGGGCATTTTCCTTAAATGCAACTATGAACTTACGCTGACAAAGACTGTAGCACTAAAAGTTCGCTTGGAAAATAATGCACCAATCATTATCTCCAAAAGCCATTTTGCTCGTTTGCTTTCTCATATCCGATGTTGACAAACCAAATTCCACTGCTTACATTGAACTACAAGCGCACCGCCCACGTTTATCTTGACGCCTTAGCTACTGTCGTAAAATTTCAGTGTAATTTATTTGCTCATGGTGTATGAAACCACTTTTACCGTTTGATTAGGTGTTCGCGTTTTGCCTGCCTTCTATTTGCATTTGCATGCATAAATACTACCCCCTTCTGATTTTTGGTTATCACTGAATCTGACGGAGGCGATGACGTTAGCAGCAGTTGTCTGCAGTTTTGTTATTCTCGTTGGAAAGTTTTCCTATGGCGTAAGTTTCCCACGCATTCGTCAATTCAACCAAAGGTTAAGAAAACATAAGTTGCCATTATGCGTTGAATTCGGTGGCGATCTGAAGAATTGAAACTCATCATTGCGTGGGTTCTTTTGAAAAGCCTAATGTGAGATCTTATTCAATCGTTCTCCGTATTTACGCACTTCCAGATGAAATGCCGTTAAGGTCCCATTTATACAAGCGCACTTATAAAAGACTGAAGACCCATAGGGCAATAGGTTCTTGCTTGCATCCAGTCAGCGAAAATTGTACAGTTCTGTATTAAAATGCCTCTCTGGATAAGATGAATAAAATATTGCTAACTTCCTATTCAGCTTTTTCGTTTCGCCACCGCGTGATAAGCTGTTCGGTTTAATCCTACTGTAATAAATGGAATGTAAGAAGACAATGAAATGCCATTATACGCCAAACCGTTTTGCCGCTCCGTATGAATTTGTTCGCCTAACCCTTCAATCCTGTTTAGCAAGTGCCCTGTGGGAATTTTACAATTCCAGAGGTAACCGAAGCGTTGAGAATCCAAGTTTCCCACTGTTTTGCTTATAGGCAGTGAATTTAGCCGGAAGAGGTCCTAAAACGTGGGACGATACCTACCCGCCGTACGTTGGGACTCAGTGGAATGTTGATTGCTGCTGGAAGGAATGCGACCCACCTTTCACGTAACCATAAGGGCGCAGACTGACTTTTTTGTATATTTGAGCTTCCAGGGATCCTTTTTTCTCACCAAAGTTCAATGAGAAAGACGGAAAGATTGATAGAAGAAGACTGAAAACCCGCTGCAAATTTCCTAAGTATTTAGTTCGTGGAGAGAAGCCGTGGAATCCTGCTGGTCCAACAGGATATGCTGGACGTGGTCTCTTTCCACGCTGGGGGCCAAACTTCTTTGTGAGGGCGTTGTTAATTCGGTAAGTACGATTGGGGGATGCCCATTTCGTACTTTGCTACTATCCATTTTTGGGTTAAGGATTCATTTGACCATTAACTAAGCAATATACATAGCTGGATTAACTGAAGTTTTGCGCAAGGGTGTTGCTTACAGAACCATCCCTTTTTTTCAGGATTTTCAAGTTTCTTATTGTTCTAACGAAGCTGATCAAATGACCTGCGTAAGCATGAGCGTTCTGTTCTGAAAACATGTAAAAAATTTATTAAAGAATAAGAAAAGGAGGTGCTTTTGTTTTCGTAACTTTCGGGACTAACTTTGTCCCGTTGTCGGCGAAATAAACGACTTAGATGTAAATAAGTTTCACACGAAGGCTTTCCCGCCCATGACGAAATGCAATACGCTTAAGATGATCAGTATTAATAGAAGTAAGCTTTAATACTGTTTTATTTTTCAGGAAACAAAAACGCACCACGGAAATCCTTTTGCAGGAGAGTGGCTACGCTTACTTTGAGGTAACCGGCAACGACTAGCAGAAGCAATCCCCCCTCTGCCTTCTCTAGATTCTGATTTAGGGTTTCGTGGATGACGTCACTAATGATCCGTTGCCCGAAATTCTGAGACTGTTTGCTGACGAGGGTCTAACTCGTTCTGGTTACGGCGCAGAGCAGAAGTCTATGCTTTTCAACCATGTGTTAGCTACTTTCAGAGTGGTAAGAATTATCTGTTCTTCTGGCCAACTTGACTTTCATTCCTGAAGCAGCAGCACGCTGCTTGATAGTGACGTTTAGCGCAAGTTAATTTTTCGTAATTTTGCTAGTCACAGCTTTGTCACTTTTCAAACTGCCCATACTTTGGAGTCATCTTATGCCTTCGCAATCACGGGCATGTACAATATTTGTTCGCTAGCTGATATAGGTCAAATTGTCGGTCAATTGTTAATTAATTGATACTTAAGCGCCTGCAGGTGATGGCTGCCAGCCTATGGTCATGTTCCTGTGATTAACGATATGACATTTCAGTTTTCTTCGGGAAGCATTCCACATCCGTGGAATACAGACAACGCTTGGATAGAAATCTTTTTCTTCATTATTCCTTGCCACAAAAATATGAACTTTTGTAACGCCCTCATGAAGCAATCGCACCACCGATTTCAATGGAAGCCCTTATCGCACAGGATAACCACATCAGTCATGGTTCAAATGCTGGCCTTACAGTTCAAGAGTGCAATACCGTTTCAAGCCAATTACACGGCGCTTTGCAATTAATATAGTTATCAGTTGCCCTTGTGACGTTCAATAAATTAATCATAGGTTTCTTGAATGTTTCCAGCGGGTGCGTATTTGCTAATAAGCTAATAAGACGCACTTTTAAGCATGCTCAGATTAATGATTGCGCATAGTTAGTCTAGCAGGTTCTACTGATGAATGATTAAGAAGAATTAAGCAGATCAGCGGAACGTATAGGACATTTGATGCAGATTAGTTTTATATTTTCAATAACAGGATGCTATGCTGCAAGTTATGATTTCTTAACGCCCATGACGTTCTCTAATGACTCACCTTAGTTGGCGTCTAACAAGTAACGTCCAGTCTTAGATTTCACTTTCTTTGATCAGCGACGCAGCTCAACAACATGAGTTGTGCTCTACGCTATCAACTGCCAATATGGCCAAGTGGTAACGAGCACGTGACGATGAGGCGAGTCTTAATTTAGCGGAATAGGACGTGCCTGTTGGAAAAGAACAGTATGGAAGTAAGTGACGTATGGAAAATAGAAGGACGCGTGCAACTTACTTGTGTTCCCCATGCTGGCATTGTGATCAACTGCTGATATTCATGAATCCTTCAGTCAAGCGAAAAAAGTCAGATTTTTAAAGACTGGCTGCTTTGTGAGGGGGTAGTTGGTCTTCATTATTGACAGGTTCGGCAGCCACATGAAAGTGCTCAACCGGTATAGGCACGCGGTGGGTAGGCTCAAGGGGGCCGGGACAGTATATCCAGGACGACCGCAAAAGCTGCCCGCCTGAGGAGATCGTGGAAATCACAAAGAAAGCCTCCGCGGTCGTTGGGCACGCGACCTCGTGCTGATGATCGTCACCCGGGAGAGCTAATTCCCCCTGCGAAGGATCAAAGAGGCCTTCTTCATTCGCAATAATGATAATATCAGCCTCGCGACAGAGGTACAGAAGTTAGTGAGGCGTGGAGCGCACTCGTACCGAGCTAATCTCCTTCCCATTGTCCCCTAAAGAGGCCTATTGTACGCTTAACGGAGTAAACGCCTTCTCCCTTTCTTACGCTGACGACGGGACTAGAGCGCTGCGAAAGCTACGTACGTTGTTCTCTGTGAATTTCCCTAACAACTTGCTCATCTATTCGTTGGTAGGGCGTCTGTTCTGGTTTTTGCAGACACACTAAGAACTGGAAGAAGCTGTGGAAAGAACAAAAATGAACAAGGCAGATTTCATAATGGTTCACTATCTTGCAAAAGCAATTTGTTATTGATCGCAGACGTGGGAAAATGTTATCAAATAATTTCAGCTTCTTCAATGGACGGAAATTGAATTTTAGACTTAGGTGAGTAAAACTAAAATTCTGCACTTAGAAGCAGCAACGTCGAGATCATTTGCTACGATGAAATCGCCTCGTTCGATTACTAACAGAAGAAGTCTCTTCAGTCTGTTTGCTGATACAGTGAACATGAAGCGTCCATTCAGAATACCACTCAAACATTGATATGCGAGTGTAGTCGACTAAGACTGCGCAATATTTTTTTAGGTTTGCCCTAAGATTGTCTGAGGATGCTGTAAGACGAGTGCGCCAGAACAGCTGGAGCGTTTATTAGAAATAAGCGACCAACAGGTCATTATGAAACATGGTAAAATACAAAGCCGTGAAACCAGCATGGATGAAACCTCATTCAGCATGACATAACACATACACATAATAATCGACGCTTAAAGACAGAACAGGCGCCAGTGGTGTAGCGGCATCATGCAAGGTTCCCACCCTTGCGACCCGGGTTCGATTCCCGGTTGGCGCAAGTCATAAATTTTTTTTTCTTACTTCTCTTCACGTTTCCAAGGAAAGGCGTTCAGTCTGTTTGCTGATACAGTGAACATGAAAGTTCCATTCAGAATACCACTGAAACATTGATATGCGAGTATAGCCGATTAAGACTGCGCAATATTTTTTTAGATTTGCCCTAAGATTGTCTGAGGATGCTGTAAGACGAGTGCGTCAGAACAGCTGGAATGTTTATTAAAAATAAGCAACCAACAGGTCATTATGAAACATGGTAAAATACAAAGCCGTGAAACCAGTATGGATGAGACATGATTTAGGCCGGCATAACACATAATACGCTGACGTTCAAATATAGAAGAGGCGCCAGTGGTGTAGAGGTATCATGCAAGGCTCCCACCCTTGCGACCCGGGTTCGATTCCCGGTTGGCGCAAGTCATTAAGTTTTCTTTCTTACATATCTTCACGTTTCCAAGGAAAGGGGTTCAGTCTGCGCATACCTTTCACAATTAGGTATGAAAACCGGCAAAACGGAAGTACGCTTGTCCCTCTCAAATGGCAATTTACTTTTTGAGAAAAAGACAAAGCAGTTTTCACTGTGATATCGTCAAGACGAAAGCAAAATTATTCGTAATTCGCAATGCACAGTCAAACCTCCATTATCCGAACATCAACGGGCCGGGGGTGGTTCGGATAATAGAGGAAATCGGATAATGGAGAGAGCTTACAGTACTGCATGAGAATGCAGGTCACATCATGTTAAATGTAACCGCTTTAGCTTATGCGGGTGACTATTTGACCAACGAAAGCGTCTGGCTAGCAGAAAACAGTTTTCTATGTCGCGCAGAGGCTGTAAGACGAAGCGG